ATAGGACACAGACGTCTTAGCCCTCTCCAGCCCCAAGGAGTAGGGCAAAGGGCAGTTTCTCACCGCACAAAGTTGGGGTGTCTCGGTCGTGCCACTGCAAATGTCCCTTTTAGGGTGCAGGGGACACTGACGGTGCCCCAGGTGGCTCTGACTGTCCCAGGTAGGGCTGTCCCTCCCCAGGCGACACACTGTGCAAAAGCCCTCTGCTCTGTCTTTCCCTGCGACTTGGGAGAGGGGCTGCTCAGGGATACATGCAGGACACGTCCATATGTCTCCACATGCACCGCGGCACCTTGTAAAACACACAGGGGAACCCACATCGACAGTTCCTGGCAAATCCACACCCCCTGAGTGGCATCACGCTCACATGCGTGGAGCTGGCGTGCGTGTACTCACCCCACTCTGTACGCACACCTGTACAGATGTGTTGCTGTACATACAGGCTGTGTGTACACATGGCACACACAGGGCTGACACACATTTGGACACTCCCGCAGCGCACCAACCTGCTGTATGTTCCTTACACATGCATAAGGAGCTCGCTTGCCTGCAAACCCGCAGCACATTCACACTCCAGCATGTATGTTTTTTGCATGCGTTCACACTCTGCCACACATGCAGGCACTGCCATCCTCTTGCTCATCCTTGCACACATATGGTGGCACAATTGTAGATGCTAGCTTTCCAGTCGCCCCCCTCTGCCTCCCCCCGAGTCAGCTTCAGGGAGCCGAAGGCTCAGCTAGGGGCGGCGGCTGTGGTGGGAGCCTGGGCGCTGGGTGAAGATGTATTTGGGGCATGAGGCTGCCTGGCACGCAAGGCAGCAGTTCTTAACGCTGTTCTCATCGGGAGGCACCCTGCCCTTGCAGGGCTTGGCAGAGAGCAAGGAGGAGGCTGAAGTGGGGAGGGGGTGGCAAGGAAGGGGGTGGAAGGGGTGGAAGAGAGATCAAGAACCCTCTGGGCTTCCTGATGTAGCCCCATCACCCTCCATAGCTTCTCCAGTGCTTTGGGATATGATGGATCAAGAGAAGTTGGTGTGGGTTCCCCACCAGTACAACGTCTGAAATGCTGCCACTGGTGGTCAGTCTGCACCCTCACCTGCCTCCCACCCATGCAAATGTCCTGGATAGATCCATGAGGATGGGAGACACTGGTGGTATTCAGCCTGTGAGACACGCCCTGCTCCTGTGAAATCCCAGCCTGCCTCCCCAACAGCGCTCCCAAGCCTCTTCCTTGCTGGGAGGCATTGCCTGGTGAAGTTGGGGCTGGTAGATCTGTGAGGTGCCTGGCAATTATCAGAATGAATATTAGCAGCCGGAGTTTTGTAACTGTTCTTGCCAAATGTTAATGAACGGCGTCATTGCTATTAACGAGCCTGATTAGACCAGATGTTGAAAGCCTTTAATAAACATTAACTAAGATTTTGCCTGGGCTAAATTCCCACTGTATGTTTTCAAACATTGGATGAATTTTAGGGCCAAACCTCACAGCTCTGGCTCATCTCAGCTGCACTTCCACCAATGCTCAATTTTGTCCCAGCTTGAGCCCCAGCCCCAGTCACTCCAACGTCTCCTGCCATCTGGCACACCATGTTTTTGGAAGGACGAACTGCCCCAGCCTTGCCCTGTGTTGGCCCTTTCACCTCTCCTATCTCCTCCCCTCTGCCCCGCCACTCCTTTCCCTCACTGCCTGTTTGCCACGGAGGAGCCAGGGGAAACGAGCCAGCTGCCTTCTCACGCAAGCCTGGGCAATCGTTAACCTGAGCCTGGCTCTGCCCCTGGGCCAAAAGGTCCTGCCACCATGAATCCCAGGGCATGGGAGCCTGAGGGACGATTCCCTGGGGATGGGGAGGGCTGCGGTTGTGGATGCTTTGTTGCAAACACATTCCCTCTCTGCTGCGGTTCCCAGCACCTCCAGAGTGGCTGTGGAGGTGACAGCCCCCTCTGGGTTCTAGGTACAGTCTGCTCAGCCCAGGAAAATTCTCTGGGGGAAATGCTGGCACCCACATCCCATGGGGAGCGATGCCGAGAACTCGTCCTCTGTCCTCCCCAAGGGCAGGGCTTAGGGCCCCCCTTCCATATCCTCGTCCTGGGCTCTAGGAGAGACACGTGCCCTGGGCAGGAGGAGAAGTTACCATTCATCTCCCAGAGCCTGTTGGAACTGAGAAAATATCTTCCCTGGCTTCTCTGGTTGGCTCCAGCCAGGCTCAGCCCCATTTGTTAATGGGTAGCTATTAACCAGGCCTTTCGTGCCATGAACCCCTGAGATCGGCACGTGGCCATGCAACGAGGAGAGCGTGTATAAAGCCGTGGCCATCAAGACAGTGGGAGAAGAAGGTCCAGGGGGCAGAAGAGGATCCCCTCTGTCCCCAGAGCAGGCAGCTGCCAGAGACCCTCTGCCTGTACCAGCCCTGTGTATTGCAAGGACCTGCAGGTAGGAGACAACATCTGTGTGTGTGTTTTTCAACATGGATATAGGATCAGGGAGGTCATATTTGGGTCTGAAGCAGAAGTTCATGCACCAGGCTCTTGCCTCCCTTCCCTGTCCACCCAGCAAGCCACATATTTCTGCATGGCAGCCCCCTGCACTGGTGGCCAACCAGCAGATCCAGCCTCCTGCCTTTAAATCCTCACAGAATTGATGGACCAGGGTGGGGACCTTCATTGAGGTCTTGCTGTTCCTCTCCTCCTGCCTTCCTGTGCTTTTCTGAGCTGCGTTTTTCTGTGCCTCATTGCAAACAGACTGCCTCGCCTTGGCAGGAGCCATGGCCAGTCAGTACTGTGGTCTTCTGCAGGTGAAGGGGTGCCGTTACAGGCTGGAGGAAGCTGAGGTCTCACTTTGGAGTCTTTAGAGTTCTCCACCTTTTGCCCCTTGAAAACCCCAAAGTGCTGCACAGGCAGTTCCATCACTCTGAACTATTTAAGGGCACTCAGTGCGTTTTCTCAGCATCAGCAATATCTGCAGGGCTTAACCTCATTCTAATCTTGGCTCTTCTGGTTAACTCATTTAGGGTTCTTACCTGGCAGAAGCGATGAAGGCTGTGATGTCGCTGGCGGGAAGCCAAGGTGTTGTCTCAGCCTCAGAGGTCCTCCTCGTGGCTGCCGTCTTCTGCCTGGTCTTCCTGCTCATGCAATCCTTCCAGCAGCACATCCCCAAGGGGCTGAAGAGCCCCCCAGGACCCAGAGGTTACCCCATCCTTGGCAACGTGCTAGAGCTGAGGAAAGACACGCACCTGGCCCTGACCAGGCTGAGCCAGAAGTATGGGGATGTGATGGAGGTCAGGATTGGCACCCGGCCCGTTGTGGTGCTGAGCGGGCTGGACACCATCAGGCAAGCCCTGGTGAAGCAAGGAGAAGACTTCATGGGGCGCCCTGACCTCTACAGCTTCCAATACATTGCAGATGGGCAAAGCCTGACCTTCAGCCCTGACTCGGGAGAGGTGTGGAAAGCCCGCAGAAAGCTGGCCCAGAACGCCCTGAAGACCTTCTCCATTGCTCCCAGCCCCACCTCCTCTTCCACCTGCCTCCTGGAGGAGCATGTCTCTAAGGAGGCTGACTACCTGGTCACCAAGTTCCTGCAGCTGAAGAAGAGCTTTGACCCTTACCGGTACCTGGTGGTCTCTGTGGCCAATGTCATCTGTGCCATCTGCTTTGGCAAGCGTTACGACCACAATGACCAGGAGCTGCTCAATATAGTGAACCTCAGCCATGAATTTGCAGACGTGGCTGCTGCTGGCAACCCTGCTGACTTTATCCCAGTGCTCCGGTATCTTCCCAGCCGCGCCATGAAGTTATTCATAGCTTTCAACAAACGATTCCTCCATTTCCTGCAGAAGATTGTCAAAGAGCACTATGAGACCTATGACAAGGTAAGAGCTTGCAGGACCTCCACCTTCACCAGAGATGTCCCTGCTTTCTGCCCCTCTCTGTTTGCAAATTATTTTTAATTTTGTGACCAAGCATCAATGGAAATTTATGTTCTTGCAGATATCACTGCGTTTAGGAAGAAGTCCAGCTGTAGTGTCGGTCACTTCTAGTCTCTCCATGTGCAATCATCCTTCTCCTTCACAGTCCTGTTTGATAGGGCCCGTTTGTTGGTTGAACATCTGATCTGTGCCACAGGTTCCCTGGAGAACCATCTCCTTGTTTTCATAGGTTGCAAAAGCAGTTGGGACCATAGGGGCTGAAAGATTATATTCTCCAGAGCTTTTATGTCGTTGGGCTCCCCTAGCATCAGGTTGTTAGTTAGTAACGCCCATTCCTCTGCTGGTTCTGCTGGCATGACTTGTCTTCTCTTCCTCTCAGAACAACATCCGAGATATCACCGACTCGCTCATTGAGCAGTGCCTGGAGAAAAACGTGGGAGCAAATACTGCCACACAGATCCCTAAGGAGAAGATCGTCAACCTTGTGAATGACCTCTTTGGTGCAGGTATTGTTTCCCACCAGTCCCTTGGCTACTGCAGATTTTCTCAGGCTCCTTCTGTTATAACTCTGGCTGACCCATCTTTGCTCAACATCAAGCAGCCAGTTTGGGTTCTCCTGCTCACTGGTCTTGCTGGACTTCCCCCTGGAGACCAGCATGGAACATTAGCTTCGGAAAGATGTTTTGGGGAAAACAAAGGTCATGGTTTATAGCTCAGTCAAGCTTCACAAGCCAGGGTGTCTTTTCCCTGTTGAGGGAGATGTCTACTGACTGATTCATCTTTGAGTTACTCTGTGGAAACTCCCCCATTTCCAGGGAAGTTATACAAACCTGTCATAACCCAAAGGTAAATCGGGATGAATGACAGCAGAATGTTTTAGCAAAGTTTTCTCCGACAGGATAACAACCCAAGTCCTACTGTGTGCCCAGGGTGTGCTCTGTCTTCTTGGCCATCCAAGACTACCCTGTGATGGGTAGGCAGCATGCCAAGGCACATTGCCCTGCATGTTGTACAGGCCTCATCTACATGCTTTCCTCTTTGACCAGGTTTCGACACCGTGACCACTGGCCTGTCCTGGAGCCTCATGTATCTCGTGACGTACCCCAATATCCAGAAGAAGATCCAGGAGGAACTAGGTGAGTCCATGAACCTGCTTCCACTAGGGCCAAAAATGTCTCTGGAGAGGGCTGACCCCAACCCACACTCTCTTCTTCGCCTCCCACAGACCAGACCATCGGCCGGGAGAGGAGGCCGAGGTTGTCGGATCGAGGCAATCTGCCCTACACAGAAGCCTTTATACTGGAGATGTTCAGGCACTCTTCCTTCCTTCCCTTCACCATCCCGCACAGGCAAGTGCTAAGATTAAAAAGGGGGTGGAGGGACGAAGTGGACTTGAATCCTCTTGTTACAGCCAGGCCAGCAGCAATAGAACCAAACTAACAGTCCCCTGAGGATGCAGAAGAGCCTTTTTGCTTCCCAAATTCTCAGAGTCTTTTCTCTCTTCAGCACAACCCGGGACACAGTCCTGAATGGCTACCACATCCCAAAGGACCGCTGCGTGTTTATCAACCAGTGGCAAGTCAATCATGACGAGTAAGTACCTTCTGAGGCAGAAAGCCTCCTGCAGTGACACACAGGACCTTTCCTGCACAGTTATCTTCCCTGACAGACGTGGGGTCAACTCACTTTGAGATAAGAGTGAGCAGATGAAGTATCTACTAGATTGAGGGATATTCCTACTGACAGCTCCCACCTTCCAGTGTGCCCCCTACACCCACGGCAAGAAGACACCATCTCAGCATCTGATGTTTTCCCTTGCAGGAAACTGTGGAAGGATCCACTGACCTTCAACCCGGAGCGTTTCCTCACTGACGAAGGGACTCAAGTGAATAAAGCGGATGGGGAGAAAGTGGTGATTTTCGGCCTGGGGAAAAGGAAGTGCATTGGGGAACACATTGCCAGGTGGCAGATCTTCCTTTTCCTCTCCACCTTGCTCCAGCAGCTGGAGTTCAGTGTCTGCGATGGTAAGAAGGTGGACATGACGCCCATTTATGGACTGTCCCTGAAGCACAAGAGATGTGAGCACTTCCAGGTCAAGCAGCGCTTCCCCATGAAGAGCATCAACTGACGTCACTGGGGTGGGGGGCAAAGACCTGAGTGTCCTTGTAGCAACGCTGGGTCTGGTACAAACTTAGGAGGCGATATAATAAACTGAAACCACTGAAACTCACACCTTGTCTTGTTCACTTTGTGGCATTTCTTGTCTCTTTTGTTTTGCAGCATTTCTAGTGTTGGATATTCCGTCACGTGCTGGGTGTTCCATCACATCTGGTCTTAGTACCACAGAGCACAGATTCAGGGGTGTGTGAACTGTTTTTTGCTAGAGGGACAGGGAATGTACCCAAAACCAGAGTGTCTGAGTAACAAAGACTCATATTCTCTCAGAATCACACTTTGATAGCTGAAGGACAGCTGGCCCATGCCGTAACCCTACAGTGTCCATCCATGTTTAGGATCTTGGCTGAACTGAAGCCCAAAGCCTCATTCACCACAGTCACTGCTGGCTCTGAAGGCCACAAGGAAGGACACTTCTTCACCTTGTTACTGAGAAAGTCAAGCTGTTAATGTTCTGGGCTGGAGTAAGAGTGTTTTCACAACGGGGCAGAGAAGGAGAGCAGGACTTTCTCCAACTCAAACCCAAGAGTTTACATTGGCTGCCAGTGAACCCATGCCAGCAGAGCCAGATGTCTCTTTTTCTTCCACTTGCACGCAAAGCCATCTTAAGCCAACCCACTACCTGGCAAGCAACAATACAGGAACAAGTAAAACCATCCGGTGCAGCATGCGCTGCTCTTGAATCTATTCCCAAGGGTGACATCGGCTCAGCCATTGCCCCAGCCCCTGACCAATGAGAGCTCCTCTCAGCTCCGAATACCAATCACTCATCATGCATTGCACAAAACCTTCCAAGAAGAGACAGAAATGTGGAGAAGAAAATGGGAAAGTTGATTGCCCAAGACTTCAGGGAGATTCCAGACACAGCAGGGAGGTGTTCAGACCTGCTAAACAAGCCTGAATGAAAAGCAGTAATTCTGGGTCTCTGTGTGTCCAGGTCCTGCCTGGTCACCAGTTTGTGATGAAACACTGAGATGATGCAGCCTCAGACCCACCTGAATTCACTGGACCAGCCCGAGCAGCTTCCGTCCGTGTCACACCAGCTTTGTCTTCGCTGCTTAATGTCATGATCCCAATATCAAAGGGAAAGCAAGGGTGAGGACTGAGAGGTCCAAACCATGGTGTGAGCTGCAGCCTATCAGAGGCCTTGGAGGAAAAGTGGAAGGATGCTTTAGGAAGACCCGTGAAGTCTATCAACTAAATAACATCTCTGCTACATACAAGGGCCATAGGTGAAGGCAATAGAGTTATGAACCACATTTCCACAAGGGATTCCCTAAAGCTGGCATTCATCTACTGCAGAGGAAGGTGGGATCACCCTAGATGTAGATCTGGGTTTCTCAGCATCTAACCTGATGATTCAGAGGTGTGCTGGCACCTCCAGAGACTCAGCAGCAGCATGGACTTGGCCCAGCGTTCCAGTGGGAACACGCAATGCTGATGCTGGTGTAGGACCAGAGGTCCCATTTCCTGAATTCATTGCATGACTTTTGCTCTGAAGGCTGGCTGTTTGCTGATAAGGCTCGCAATAAGTAAATGCAGATATAAACAGCAGTGGAAATTATTATTTTCCCCTTTGGAGATGAGTGTTTTATAGACCTGGGGCAGATAAGTGGATTAATATTAACATTATTGAGGTGAAACAGACCCTTGCCAGTGGAAGGTCTTCCCAAGATACATTTATGAAGGCCTGATTGCCACCCCTGGGGCCATCGCTGACAGTTTGTCTTAGGCGCAGTCTGGAGACGAGAGACCTGGGAAAAACAGTCACCCAAGTGTCAGGCTGGAGAAGAAGGAGCGAAGAGGCTTGAGGGGACAGAAAAGGGCAGGTGGTTATCCTTCCCCATGCAGCCCTTCTCTTCGTGGTGTCAGAGGCAAAACACGTCATGAAGATGCAGGAGACGTTTCAGGGCAGCTTGCACAAGCAGGAGAAATCCTTGAGACCTTGACCTGATGCCCCTGCACACACACTTCTCCCTTGGACATCCTGGCCCATTCAACAGTCTGGCGACCCCAGGTGAAGTCCCAGTTTTCTTTCTGGGGGTGCTGCAGTCAGACTACACCCTGATCCCAGGCCCAGGCATCCTGCCTGCTCCTGGACAACACAGCTGGAAGATCAAAGCTGAACAGGCTCCTTCACCAGATGTTTTCCCAGCTGAATGTGTTGGGAATCCCTCAGCACGCAGGGAGGAGAGCACTGAGCATGGGCCAAGCATCAAACAAGGTATTCCAGCTCTGCACTGCTCTTTGCTCTGGAGCAGAGCTGCACTCGCAGATCCCCCCACCTTCTGCAAAAAAGGGATGGGGGCAACCTGCTCCTTTCTTCTTCACCACCTCCTCTTCCTTATTTCCTCCTGATAAACAAATCCATTGACCTTCATCACAAACACCCCAACTGCTCACAGTAGTTAAAGCACTCCAGCTCCCCTGTCTTTTCTTTCCCCTAGTGATCTTCCTCAGTTAAGTCCTCCAATTACTCTCCAGGTAGCCTGCGGATGATTTTGTTACTGGAAACGGGACAGTGATAAGCCAGGGAAGCTTTTACCACTCCATGGCCAACTGCTTTTATTGTCCATTTTAAAAGGAGTCAGCAGAGCAGCCATGGCAGCTGGGCTCCACCTCCACTTCCAAAGCAGGGGATGCTTCCTCTTTCCCACAGGGAAAGGTCCAGGCAGCCACACACCTCCTCCCTCAAGCTGAGACACCTGCCTGGTGCTGGCATTTGGGGTGGTGGCATTGCCTTTCGTGGAATCCTGTACCCAGACACGAAACGGGCTAGAGGAGCCACTTGTGGCTCTTCCTCTGGGATGGAAGGAAGAGAGGAGCTGCTCCAGCACTTAAGGAACCTCTTCATTAAAAGCACATCCTGTATTTCTAACTTCTTTCCTTTAGCTGTTTGTTTATTCTCCCATGAGATGTGTTAGCAGGAATCATCTCCCCACAGCAGTTAACTCTTGGGTGTCTGCTTTTTGCTGATTGTCCCCATCACTGGTGACAGTCTCTTGACATCAAAAATATCATCCGTTGGTGCCCTAGAGCTTAAAATAAAGTTCTGAGTTGCAACTTGAGGAAACCCCCAAACACGGTATTTCTCTCTGCAGTTCCACTCCTGGGACAGAGTTGGGATCTCCCATGCCTCAAACCCCAGGAGCAGCCTCTGGTTTCTGCCTCTTAGGGGAGAAAATTTCTGTTCGTCCTCTAAGACAGAGCAGTTTCTGGGTTGCTGGAGCTGGTGGAACCTTATCCTGATGAAGTTTCCTCCTGTGGTGGCTTAGAGAAGCTGCTGGTCCTCTGACTCAGGCTGGACCTGTGGATGGAGGAGAGCTTGAGCCAGCAGAGCTGGACACATCAAACCTAGTACGCGGATTTGCCCCTGTGCTGTGAGGGCTCCCAAATCAGTATGAACCTTTCTTCCTCCTCCCACCCCTCACCTCCCTCTTCCCTCTGGAAAGGAGACAGCATTTGGGCCGATCGGTTGCCCTGCGTCATTAGAAGTACAAGGTACCTATTAATCAGAGAACACAAGAGTGGATAAGGATAGAGTTTGTCCCTAGGTTAGGGAACAGCAGCAGAGATGCAGTGATAACCGCTCCTTGCACCCAAAGACCTGCTGGAGAAAAAGCTCCAGGCTACTTGGAGCAGCCTCAGACTTGACTGTTGCCCCATCCTGACATGGGCATGATTTTCCATGAGGAGAAGGAAAAGAGGGGAGCAGCCCCAGAGACATATCCCACACAGAGCCAGGGGCCACTAGGTCCTGCAAGCACATGGATGGTCCTCAAACTCAGCCTCGGCAGCAGGATATGGGCTGGACAGCCAGGATGTGGACAGGGCTGGCCGTCACCTGTATGGCCCCAAAGCTCACCCTGGGTCTGCAGGTGGCAGGGTAGCAAGTGGCTATCTCAGAACAAGCGTAGATCTGGGAGGGGGGTGTCACACAGAAGGACGGGCTCTCATCCCCCTGCCATAGATCACACACTAGCTGGCCCCATAAAAAGGGTCCCCAGTTGACTGCTCTGCTCTCATGTCTCTAACATCAGTTTCCTGAACCTCAACAGGTAAATCAGGGCTGGAGCTGAACCCCCGGTGCCGGGGGAAAGGGACACAGACAGGCCAGGAGGTCCAGCCTGATCCCACACTGGATGGGTAAAGCCACCAGCCGAGAGACAGCGTCCCCAACCTGCTCACCTTTCTGCTTTACGTAAAATCATCCTGGAAACGAGGGGTCTCTAGGAAAGCCTTTGAAATAAGCCTGCTCTCCACACCCAAGAGGGTTTTCAGAGCTGGCACCAGAGGGAGAAGCCCCTCGAGGGCCGACTGCCAGCGCTGGGAGGTAGGAGGGGCAGGATCCTAATTCACTTTGACGCTTCCGAAGCATTTTTGTCGCCTCTCGTTGGGATTTGGGACATGAACGCCCTCCCGTGGCATCTGTCACAGCAGCTGCACGAGGGCCTTTCGCTGATGAGCAGGGAGGAGAGAGGGGTTTTCCCTCCTGTCAGGTGTTTTTCGGAGGGAGGAGCATTTGGGGATCTATAGGGTATTGACCCCCCTGCAGAGCATCCATATCCCCCATCACTCCTGTAGCTCTGGGAGCCGCAGAACCCGCCAAACCTGGTTCCATTCGAGTGGGTTTTTTTCAGCTCGAAGGTGAATTCTCCAGGGCCGAGTGAGCTGGGAGCTTTCAACAGGGCAGGCAATTGCTTTGCTCCCTTAAAAAATAGGTACATCCCCAGGTCGGGATTATATTCTCAGCTCTTCCTTTGTAGCATTATTTTTTTTCCGCTTATTTTCCTTTTTCCCGCTGATTCCCGCCAGCTGAAGAGCACCCTCTGCTGGCGCAAGGCAAAGAGATGTCTGCCCAAATCTCGTCCCGGCTGGCCAAACCCATCCTTCCCAGCCTTCCAGTCAAGACCCTTCCCAGGAGAAATCCCAGCCGGGACACAGCAGTGAGCT